TAGCCAATACTAACTTAACCTCAGACCCGTTTCATAACTACAGGCACAACAACTCGGGGCGCAAAAAAAAGAAATAAAATACAAAAGAAAGGAAGAAAAGAAAATCACTCGTTTATCCATCGACTAAATTCGAACGTTCTTGTTTCCATCGCTTGGTATGAAGTAATTCTGAGTAATTGTAAACTTTAAAATTTGCGTAAATCAGTAACGTTTGTCCTTTCTGTTATCGAACAGCTGAAGAGGCAGAACGTCAAAACTCAATATGCCACTAGAATCCCAACTTTGCAAACAGCGTCTGGATTCTTATACATTGTGAAACTATAGAGTGGCTGCGAGTGCGGTTTTATTAACACTGGAGACTATACGTTTTAGTAACCAGCGACGCGCTGTAGTACAAGTAAATCCGCTACTAACTTGCGCAAGAAATCCTTTTCCAAGATAAGCTTTAAGGTAATGTAAAAAAAAAACGCCCGACTGATAAGCTTTGTAAAGTAGGGTCGTTAAACAACAGTCAAAACAGTCTGCTTATTCTATTGTCACCGTATTATGAAAAGGAACCGTGTGCATGCTTCGAGTCCGAGTGATCGTATTCCGGAATGAGACTTCGCAAACCTTTTGTTACAAATCTCTTCTAATTTGATTTTTGGATCATTTTAACACTACTTTTATCGGGATATTTTAAAATATCGCAAAACACTGAATGCAAAAACAAGTGACAAAAATTTAATCTTATCCCGGGGGAGGGACTCCGCATATGAAAGTGGTGGGGATTCTCGTCGTCTCGCTTAGGGGTGTAAATTTCGGATTTTGGTCTCACTTAGGGTGTTCTGGGCAAAACGCCATCATATTTAGCCGTTTAGGGTTGCACGCAAAAAGATATAAAAATATAACCTATAACGTGGTCTCTTTTAGAGGACAAAAAAAGCTTGGGCCATGCCCAGATAGGTCTCCTTTAGGGGTTTAATTCAAAATTTCCGACGAGTATCCCTACCCCTTTCATATGCGGAGTCCCCCCGGGATCTTATTCCGGAATACATGCAGTCAATCGAGCATGACAAGTAAAGTTTGCCCATTTATAACGCCTCAGATCACACACACAAATATTTTTTGTCTCTACTTCAAGGTTCAGTCTCTTTGGTTAATATAACTTCACTAACGTGATTCGACGAGTGTTTCCTAACATACTACTGACTTTATTATTACACGAATCTAATTCGTGTAATAATAAAGTCAGTAGTATGTTAGGAAACTAAGCTAACAATGGGAATCCTCGTAAGAGCGTCTCCCAAGCAATAAGAGAAGCTACCTATAAACGCGAAATTAACTTTAAACATGCAACACCGAAAATTATTATCACTCCAATTTAAGACGCTAAAGAAAAGCACGCTACTGCTTCTGCGTAAATGCTTGTTTGTAAACCTGGTAACCAGCTTAACTCTAGTTTCTTTTTTTTTTCACTCGTCAGATTCAATCTTTCGCGGATAGCAGACGCCTCCTTTCCCTTGGTATTCGCCGGGCGGGACGAAAAGAGAGAAAGATTCTTCCCGCCCTCCGAATACCAGGGAAAAGAGGCCTCTGCCAGCAGGGAAATGTGATCTTAAATTTATGCCAACTATGACATTTTGTTATTTGACGAACAAATTTATGGCGGAAGAGGTCAGCCAGAGTATCTCCTATCTAAAGGGCTGTTTTTACCCAAGACTTTGTTGAAAAAAACACTGAGCAACCAGGAACCTACGGCGAACACAGTTAGTGCAACAAGAAGACACTAACTGTGTATTTTTCCAGTTCATTTTCCAAACAAGCCTTCACTAAACGAAATACAACATCCACGGAAAAAGTCGAACCAGTCTATTTACTAAAGAGTCACCTGTACTTTTTATCACCAGACTTTAATCAACTTCTATAATTAGGAAAAGCGTTAGGAAGGTGCTAGTGTGTTAGTCTGCTACACAGCCGTTTTTAGTGTCGTCAAGCAATGCGTGTGTGGGCGAGTTTCTAATGCTATCTTATTCGCTTTTTTTAGGAATCAGACTCTTCTGGTGACAAGAGGTGAGCAACTAACACGCTACAAATCGGGGTTAAACGTGAAGAAGTGGTTTGCTCCAGTAACTTTTGTACAAATAAAAGACACTAAAGAAAACCACGCTACTGCTTCTGCATATATGCTTGTTTGTAAACCTGTCAGCGCTTAGATTTTACCAGCTAAACTCTGGGTAATACAATACCGCTCACAAACGGGGTGGTTTTTTCAGGTTCTACATTTTCTTAATAAAGGTATTAATAACATTGGACGGCTGTACCTATTTATGCGCAAAAGCTTCAAGGAACTTCCAAGAAAGCAAAACGATACAACCTCAATGCTGTGACGTGTTCAGTATTTCAGTGGTAAAATGTTACGTTTCTTTTTTTGGAGATGCTCTTTCAAAAACGGAATATTCGAGAGACAAGAACTTTTTCGGTTGCTACTGACCTGACTTTTCCTTTTCATTTAGCGACGAAGAAATGGATACAAGCAGTGATTCCGGCAGTTCACCCACAACTCAGCCTGTGGTGCCCTTCGCGCTTGGGCAGGTGAAAATACTGATTACCAAACCTTCTCACGCAAAACATTTACTACCATCATTCTAATATTCAAAATAATGACCTTAAAAATATATTCCACTGACACAAGAAGTAAATGTTAGAAAAATTCCACTCCTTTTTCAAAAACCCAAGCGAATTTAAATTCTATGCTCTGACAAAACACTCATGGATTTGAAGTAAGACCGACAGACTGACTGACCGACTCACTAAAACTGACCGATTCTCTAATCGAGTGATTTACGGAGCGCTTGACCACGCGGTTGAGCAGCCCGAGTGACCATCATCAACTTTAACTACTGAAAAACTGAAAAGAATGTTAAAATCCTATAATTTTTGTTACGTTCCACGGCAACTATCTTCTCCTTCTTTCAATTTTCAGTCGCTCAAAAAGTCCACTTTCTCTTTTAAACCTCATTCCCACACTTCATTCCACCATATGTCTCACTTTAATCGAAATGCTGCTTCTCTCTAACTTACTAGGGGCCTGACGCGAACCAAGCTATACGCCAACAAAATGATCACCACGCAAATCAAGCCAGGTAAGACGCTAAAAACAGTCATGTCTGTAAAGAACTATACTAAACAAAGTACCATCTCCACCATATAGTACCTAATAACCTGTACCCACCCTTATCAACTTACTAGTAGTAATCACAGGATATCACAGAATAGGGACACGCATTCGGCCGAAATTCCGAGAAGGTAGGTGGTGAAATAACCTGTTTTCCGGTGCGAGAAAGTATTGAACAGTTTCCTAGCCGAAAATGACACAAGGCATTGGCAAAGATATCATAAAAAGCATACTGAGTTAGAATGTTGTCACTGCAAGAGGCCAGATTACAGTGACGAACTTACGCTTGTTACACTGTGCACAACTACGTCTAACCAAAAGTCATAGTTTCACTTGTACTTTATGGCACAGCTCTGCTGACCCATAGCCTACGATTCGGCGTATTTTTAGGGCTAGCAAAGGCTGCTTGTTACTGATGAGTTTTTGTAATACTGCGGCCGACCGCCATCTTTCATTTTATCGATGACGCGAATAGAAGTTAACCCACTGTTTTACGTATCTTCCAGGTATGGTCCACCAAACATTGTAGCGGCGTCGAGTCATGTTCAGCCACAGGTGTATATGGAATCTTCTATTTTATTCAGTAAACAAGTAATAAAAGCAACGTCGGTAAAACGGCATAAAGCGGCATTTTTGCCCCGAGGTGGCAATTTTTTGGGCCAAAAAAAACATACGCATCTTCTCGAAATGCCGGCCGCGTAGCCCCTGCATATTAGGACGGACTTAATATATTTCGTTAATTCCTATTTTCATAATTAACTTAAGTTATGGGTTTTAACCAGGTTCTTTTTTCCCTCAGGCTGGTGATGACATGCCGGATCCTGTGGCAGTTTTTTTGTTCCTTTTCTTTATCTGTCTCACTTGGAGAAAAGTTCACTGAAAAAGCAGCTATTTAAAGTAGTTTCCCATTGTTAAGGTTATGGAGTTTAAGTAACTAATTCATGTCTGTCGAAGTAATTGTTACTGTTGTTGTTTGACGTAAATTCGCTGCTCTAAAACGTGTCTATAACTTTTGTCAAAGCGTAAAAAAAGCGTAATGTCTATTTTAGGAATCTCTGCGCAAAATTGTTAACCATAGAAAATCGAGTGGCTATTTTTATAGTGTTGCTATTTAATAATAAAAACTTAAAGTACCTGTGTTTGGTGTTGTTTAGTGAGACTTACGCCACTGAAAGCGCTCTGGTAAAGAACCTGCTATCATCGATCCATCCGCGTATTCACTGAAACAGCCCCTCTTAAAAGAACGTTTCATTTCCCTACCGCGAAAAAAAAAATGAAATTTCTGTGAATTGTTCATGTGTTTGTGGAAAAATCAAAATTGAACAGGACCTTATTTAGCTAAATACAAAATGACGAGAATGCACTTAGTACAGAGAAACTACTGACACCGGTACGAAATGTCCGGCTTAAAGAGAGGTGTCCGCATTATCGATCGATAACTGAGGTCGAAGGAAGCCTGACACCAGGTAGTAAAACAACAAATAAATAAATAAGGATTTGGAGGTAGCACATCCACATAGTGGTTCTTCGTCTACCTGATTCCTGGTTGAACTGGAATTTAGAAATGCTGGTTTTTTCAGGAGAGGGGAAACCGGAGTAAAAAACTTCTAGGAGCAAGGGAGAGAACCAACAACAAACTCAACCCGTCGAGCCCGGGCCACATTGGTGGGAGGCGAGTGCTCTCACCACTGCGCCACCCTACGCCAACACCGAGTGGGACACTTAACTTTTCCTAAAATTTAAACTCTTCGACGCGTTTTTTGATTTCGTGCTTTAGTCAGCAATTTTTTCAGACGGACTCTGTACAAAGTGAGAAAAAAATCAAGGACCCACAAAACGATTTGATAGCCACCGAGCCACTTAAACACGTCATGTTTTTGACATTCTTATTGCCGTGACGTCTTAAACTCCCTACATGTAATACAAAGCAATGTACAAGGCAAGATACTTTAATAACAACAAAATACAATGTGTCAGTCTTACGGGACATAATACGTCAATGCCTCGGTCTGAGATTTCCCTGTAATGACCCGGCGAACGGACAAGGTTAATAAGTTATTTATTATATGGCCCTTTTAGCGCTATTAAAATTAAACACTAGATAAAATTGAGACTGCGATCAGTTAAAATCAATAACTAGTCAGCAGAGAGCTTTAAAAACACAGGTCACCTCACCACGACACTGGTCAGCAAACACCTTTTTTGACAGCTGTCAATTGACCATAACATGGATGTCCACTATAAAGTTAACCACAGATTGTATATGGCTTGGACACTAGTAGAAACAATGCCCGTTCATTACAAGGAAATCTTGCCCGCTCAGCAGCAAATTAGAGGGCGCGTACTATTGTAGCCATATAACAAATACACATGAACAAAATATGGAAATAAAATACGGCCGCACAGCAAACCAAACCGTATTCATAAAGAGTCTGCAATAGATATGATTGAGAATAATAATACCCATCAAGTGACATCATTTCTGCGAAACCAATTTGCCAACGAGAGGAAGCTGGAGATAAACTAAATTATGACACCTCAATTGCAATGTTTTATAAAACTTAGTACGAGGCACGTAACTGAAGATGTTCGTTCGTTTACGACAATCGCCGATCGCATCAATGCCCGAGACAGCTTGAGCCTCAATATTTAATTAGCTTTTCTAATGTTAATTAAATTTGTTCAAAAATTGACCACGTACACAACTTCGGAAACGGCATTTTAAAGTGAGTGTGAGATTAAAGAAACAAAACCTTTTTGCAGCGATTAACAATCGCATTTCATTCTCCCCTTTAACAGCAAGATAGAGTATGGATAGGCTTTTTCTTAACGTCCCAAAGCAGCATTGTCTCTTGGCCCTTTCAAAACAACGACTTAAGAGGCCCTGACTGTAAATATTGAGAATCTGCCGACAGTTGCAAAATTTCATAATTTATTTTATTCTACCTAAAAGACCCTTTTGGTGAACTATTTTCAGAAATGGAAATAAAAAGTTCCATCGCGCTTTGCTTTTTCCGAAGAAATCCAGAAGTTCAAATTACGCCGAGGCGGTCCCCGACCCCCCGGAAAAACAATGAAAAATTCTGCAACTTCGCTAACTCCGTACGCGACAACGCGTTGAATTCCAGGATTGCTCTTTTGGATATTCCTAAATAGACCCTTTGTCTATTAAAAAACGTAAACTTCATGTAATTTTGTCACGTGTAAGACAAGATAAGAACCCATTGAAATAACTAAATTTCAATCTTTTGGGTTGAGGTGAAATAAAGGCCAACTTTAAAGGCCTACAAAAATCCTAGTATATAAATTTACGTGTCATATTGTACATCAGGTGAAAGCTTTATCCTTGTAGGTCATTATCTCCAACTGTCGTTTTTGAAGTGTCAACAGTGCACCCATGGATGAAAATGGGGGAAAGGCATTTTCCATTTCCACTAAATCGGAAAACACGAATACAAAATTAACCGCCCACTTTTCCACGCCAACGCATCATAACCCGACATCTGTCTGCTTAAAAACAATTAAAAAATTCCCCGCGCCTTTTGACTATGCAACTGTAAGTTCGATTACTGGTGTAACAACTTGATCAATTGACTGTGAATATTAAGTAAAATATGCTGGAATATTATGGTCAAAGAAGCTTCTTGATAGAGTGCAATAATGAGGTCCTCGTAGGGAGATTAATTGTAAACTTTACAAGTTGCGTAAAGCAGTAACGTTTATTGTCCTTTCTGTTCTCGAACAGCTGAAGAGCCAAAACAACAAAACTCAACATGCCACTAGAATCTCAAATTTACAAACAGCATCTGGATTTTTATACTTTGTGAAACTATAGAGTGGCTGAGAGTACGGTTTTGTTAACACCAGAGACTATCCGTTTTATTTACAGGCGACGCGCTGGAGTACAAGTAAATCCCCTACTAACTTGCGCAAGAAATCCTTTTCCAAGAAAAGCTTCAAAGTAATGTTAAAAAAAAAAAACAAAACAAAACAAAAAAATACAAAAAAATACCAGCCTTGAAATATCATAACCTTATTTCTAATCGTGAACAAACAGACGCCCGACTGATAAGCTTTGGAAAATCGGGTCGTTAAACGACAGTAAAAACAGTCCGTTTATTCTATTGCCACCGTAACATGAAAAGGAACCTTGTGCGTGCTTCGCGTTCGAGTGATTGTATTCCGGAATGAGACTTGTCAAAACTTTTGTTACAAATCTCTTCTAATTTGATTTTTGGATCATTTCAACACTACTTTCATCGGGATATTTTACTTCAAGCAGATTTTAAAATGTCGCAAAACACTGAATGCTAAAACAAGTGACAAAAATTTAATCTTATTCCGGAATACATGCAGTCAATCGAGCATGACACTTATCACTTTAATAACGCATCACATCACATCACACACACGGAAATACTTTTTGTCTTTACTTCAAGGTTCAGTCTTGTTGGTTAATATAACTTCAGTAACGTGATTCGACGCGTGTTTCGATCATAGCCCACGAAAACGTTAAAGTAAGGTTTGGAGTCATGTAAATCAGGGAAGGAAATGCAGAGACAGAGAGAGAATCGTAAAGTACTCTACTCTAAGTTGCTAATGGTATCACTGACGGTCTTGGTTTATAGTTGCTAACGGACATTTATTTTTTGGTTATATTTATAGATGGCTGATTCAGACGTATCAATGGTAAGATTAGTAACTTCATTCGATAAAAAACTCATACTATAAATACAATGACAGATAAACAAAACGGTGACTGAACCATAGATCTAGATTCGTGTAATACGTGTAATAAGAAAGTCAGTAGTATGTTAGGAAACTAAGCTAACAATGGGAATCCTCCTTAGAACGTCTCTCAAGCAATAAGGAAAGCTACCTACATACGCGAAATTAACTTTGAACATCCAACACCGAAAATTATTATCAGTCCAATTTAATAGGGTGTCTCAAGCTTATTCTTTTAACGTCTCGGAAACGTTTTTTAATAGTTTTTTTTTTCGCTCGTAGGATTCAATCTTTCGCGGCTGGTAGAGGCCTCCTTCCCCTGGTATTCGGCGGGCGGGAGGAAAAGAGAGAAAGATTCTTCCCGCCCTCCGATTAACAGGGAAAAGAGGCCTCTGCCAGCAGGGAAATGTGATCTTAAATTTATGCCAACTATGACATTGTGTTATTTGACGAACAAAGTTATGGTGGAAGAGGTCAGCCAGAGTTTCTCCTCTCTAGAAGGCTGTTTTTACCCAAGGCTTTGTTGAAAAAAACTGAGTAACTGCAACAAGAAGAAACTAACCGCTGTGTATTTCTCCAGTTCATTTTCCAAACAAAACATCAAAAAACGAAATATAACATTCACGGAAAACGTCAAACCCGTCTCTTTACTCAAGAGTCTCCTGTACTTTTTATCACCGGACGTGAATGAACTTCTACAATTAGGAAAAGCGTTACTAGTTAGGAAGGTGCAGTGTGTGGGCGAGTTTCTAATGCTATCTTATTCGCTTTTTTAAGGAATCAGACTCTTCTGGTGACAAGAGGTGAGCATCCTACACGCTAGAGATCGGTTTTACATGTTCTTAATAAAGGTATACTTAATAACATTTTACGGCTGTACCCTTTTATGCGCAAAAACTTCAAGGAACGTCCAAGGAAGCAAAACGACACAACCTCAGTGCTGTGACGTGTTCAGTATTTTAATGGTAAAATGTTACGTTCCTTTTTTTAGAAGGAGATGCTCTTTCAAAAAGTGAATATTCTGGGGACAAGAACTTTTTCGACTGCTACTGACCTGACTTTTCCTTTTCCTTTAGCGACGAAGAAATGGATACAAGCAGCGATTCCGGCAGTTCACCCTCAAATCAGCTTGTGGTGCCCTTCGCGCTTGGGCAGGTAAAAATACTGTTTACCAAACCTTCTCACCCAGAACATCTACTAACATCTAATATTCAAAACGATGCTTTTAAAAATATACTCCACTGATACGAAAAGCACAAACGAATTTAAATTCTATGCTCTACTACAACACGCATGGAAACAAAGTAAGACCGACCCACTGACACTGACCGATTCTCTAATCGAGTGATTCGCCACGCGGTCGAGCAGCCCGAGTGACCAACATCAACTTTAACAACTGAAAAGAATGTTAAAATCCTATAATTTTTGTTACATCCCACGGCAACTCTCCTCTCCTTCTTTCAAATTTCAGTCGATGAGAAAAGCTTACTTTCCCTTTTGAACCGCATTCACAACACATAATTCCAGCATATGTCCCAGATTAATCAAAATGCTTATTTTCTCTAACTTACTAGGGGCCTAACACAAACCAAGCTGTGTGCCAACAAAATGATCACCAGGCAAATCAAGCCAGGTAAGACACTAAAAACAGTCATGTCTATAAAGAACTATACTAAACAAAGGACCATCTCCACCATATAGTACCTAATAACCTGTACCCACCCTTATCAACTTACTAGTAGTAATCACAGGTTATCACAGAATAGGGACGCGCATTCGGCCAAACGACCAGGGAAGGAAAGTGATGAATAACCTGCTTTCCGGTGCGAGAGAGTATTGAACAAATTTCTAGCCGAAAATGACACATTGACAAAGATGTCATAAAAAGCATGTTGAATTAGAGTGTGGTCACTGCAAGAGGCCAGATCATTTCGACTAGTTTAGAGAGACAGACTCACGCCTGTTACAATATGCACAACAACGTCTAATAAAAAGTCATAGTTTCACTTGAAATTAAGCTGGGGGCATAGCTCTGCGGACTCTATTCTACAATTCGGCACATTTTTAGGGCGAGCAAAGGCTGTTTGTTACTGATGAGTTTTTTGACCACTGAGACCGGCCGCCATCTTTCATTTTATCGATGACGAGAATAGAAGTTAACCCACTGTTTTACGTATCTTCCAGGTATGGTCCACCAAACACTGTAGCGGCGTCGAGTCATGTTCAGCCACAGGTGTATATGGAATCTTCTATTTTATTCAGTAACCAAGTAACAAAAGCAACGTCGGCAAAACGGCATAAACCGACATTTTTGCCCCGAGGTGGCAATTTTTTGGGCCAAAGAAGCTTACGCATCATTTCGTTAATTCCTATTTTCATAATTTACTTAAGTTATGGGTTTTAACCAGGTTCTTTTTTTCCCTCAGGCTGGTGATGACATGCCGGATCCTGTGGCAGTTTTTTGGTTCCTTGTCTTTATGTGTCTCATTTGCAGAAATGTGAACTAAAAAAGCAGCTATTTAGTGTAGTTTCCCATTGTTAAGGTTATGGAGTTTAAGCAACTAATTCATGTCTGTCGAAGTAATTGTTACTATTAATCTTTGACGTAAATTCACTGATCTAAAACACGTTTATAACTTTTGTCAGAGTGTAAAAAAAGAGTAATGTCGATTTTAGGAATCTCTGCGCAAAATTGTTAACGACAGAAACTCGAGTGGCTATTTTTATAGTGTTGTTATTTAATAATAAAAACTTAAGGTACCTGTGTTTGGTGTTGTTTAGTGAGACCCACTGAAAGAGCTCTGGTACAGAATCTGCTATCATCCATCCGCGCGATGTAGCCCGTCCTAAAAAAAAAACAATGAAATTTCGGTGAATTGTTCATGTGTTTGTGGAAAAATCAAAATTGAACAGGACCTTATTTAGCCGAACACAAAGTGATGAGAATACACTTACTACAGAGATACTATTGAGACCGGTACGAAATGTCCGGCTTAAAGAGAGGTGTCCGCATTATCGATCGATAATTGACGTCGAAGGAAGCCTGACACCAGGTAGTAAAACACCAAATAAATAAATAAGGATTTGGAGGTAGCACATCCACATAGTGGTTCTTCGTCTACCTGATTCCTGGTCGAACTAGAATTTAGAAATGTTGGTTTTTGAGGAGAGGGGAAAACTGGAGCAAAAAAGCTCTCGCAGCAAGAGAGAGAACCAACAACAAACTCAACCCACATATGGCGTCGACGCCGGGATTTGAACCCGGGTCACATTGGTTGGAGGCGAGTGCTCTCACCACTGCGCCACCCTACGCCAACACCGGTAGCAGACTTAACTTTTCCTAAAATTTAAACTCTTCGACGCGTTTTTTGATTTCGTGCTTTAGTCAGCAATTTTTTAGACGGACTCTGTACAAAATGCGAAAAAATCAAGGACCCACAAAACGATTTGATAGCCACCGAGCCACTTAAACCCGTCATGTTTTTGACATTAGAGGATGTTAGCATCAACAACGAGTACGAGTACGAGAACGACTTCAAGCCGTACTCGTACTCGAAGTCGTTTTCTCAGCTTTCTATGTTAGCGATGACACCGAGTTCGAGTTTATAGAAATAAAATTATGGGATTCCGCATGACTTGGCGCCAAATTTGAGTCGAGGTAGCGGTCCACAACAATTTCGAAAACAAAAAATGACTCTAAAAAACGTTCAAGACTGCTTGTTACTCAGTTACATGGAAGGTTTTTTGGAAGAAGAAGAATTTTGTGCTTTATATGATGTAAACAGCACAGATTATCCTGTATTTGAGCATGGAAAGTATGGAAGATTCGACCTGAATGAAGTTTCCGAGGAAGATTGCTTCAGCCGCTTTCGTTTTAGCGACAAGGTCATTTCCTACCTCGGCCGTATTTTGCGTCTACCGGAAAAATTTGTGTGCGAAAATCGAACAGCGGCCTATACAGAGGAAGGGCTGTGTATTCTCTTGCAACGTTTGGCTTATCCATGCCGTTATCCAGGCATGATAACTCAGTTTGGGAGGTCTCCGCAGGAGCTCAGTCTGATAGCCAACAAGGTGATGGATGAGATTTATGAACAGCACGGGCATCTGCTGACTACCCTTGACCCCCTTCACCACCCCTGGCTGACGCGACAGAGACTTAGGGAAATGGCTGATGCTGTTTATGCGAAGGGTGCTGCACTTCCAAATTGCTGGGGGTTTGTAGATGGCACTGTAAGTCATGTAGAAACTTTCAAAATACAGTATTTTAGTCTAGTGTGTATTTTATATTATTTTGTTTGATTTTACCGTAAAATCTCTAATAAACCCTTTCCCCTCTCCTCCCCTTTTTGTAATAATTCAGGCATGGCTAAATATTTTTTAAAGAACTGATTTTACTCTTGAGCTTTTAACAGTGCAACAACATTAAACTTGATCGTCTATCATATAGTAAGTCAGATTTTGCTTCTTCTCAAGTTTTGACTTTATAGCATTTCTGTAGCATAAATCTAACGCTATGTATACCGTATACAAAATTTATCAAAACTGGCAAGATTTCCGCAGCATGTTATTTTGACTCTGGAGTTCTAAATAAGCCCCTAATACCCCCCCCCCCCCC